TGCCCTGACCTGGACTAGAACACCGTGTGCCGGTGCTGCTAGGTGGAGGATTAGCCTATTGAGCAGCGGCGCCAGCCAACATTATTGTTGATATACCTATGGGGGGCATAGTTGGTACTTGATGGATTTGAGTTTATAAATCTGATATTTTATTTATTTATTTTTTTTGAAAAGAAGAGTAGGAGAGATATCTCCCAGCCGCTGGTTTACTCCACAAAAGCCTGCTACAGCTGGAGCTGGACAAGGACAAAACAAGGAATTGGGGATCCATCTGAAATCTCCCACATAACTCAGTTACTTGAGCCACTGCTGTTGCCTCACAAGGTGTGCATTAGCTGAAACCTGAAACTGAGAGCAGAATCAGGACTTGAATCCAGGCACTCCAATACAGCAGGTGGGCATTCTAAGCAGTGTCTTAACTACTAGATCAAATCCCCCATCCTCGGGCTTATGAATGTAAAGCTCAAGAAAAGCATCTTTGGTACACCTACAATAGCAGGAAAATTCCAGTATAATCTGCTGATAGAGCCCAGATCAAATGCTTACGGCTTGCCAGAGGTTTAAATGTCAAAATATTTAAGTATTAAATAAGTCTGTCAGGTAAGGAACTTCAAAACCTGTCAAAACTACTCTGCTAATGGCTTTGTAATGAAACATGTCCCTCAGCACAAGGAGGAGGCAAGAAAGAGCTAAAGGTTTTTATAACTGCTGGGAAAGATGTTTCTACTGGGACACGGGCAGCGGTTATACAAAGCATCTATCACATAGTACACATTTGGTCAAACAGACTTGCCCTTGGCCTTGGACTAAATGTTTATGTCTTTCCTAAATTCTTCTGCTGGAATCCTAGCCCTCAGTGTAGTGGTATTAAAATATAGGGCCCTTGGGAGGTATTTAGGTCATCAAGAAAAAAACCTCATAAATGAGGTTAGTGCCCTTATGAAAGGGACCCTCTCCCCAAAGAGTTCTGTAGCTCTCTTTCTGCCATAGGAGAACGGGAGAGGTCCTTCAGCAGAACCCAACCACTCCAGCACCCTAACCTCAGAGTCCAGCCTCTAGAACTGTGAGAAAGAAATTCCTGTTATTCATAAGCCATCCAGTCCATGGTACTTTGTTATAGCAGCCCAGACTGCCTAAGTGTTGGATATTTTGGACATCTATGTCTTAATTTAATGTGGTTGGAGTCAGTTCCTGTTACCAAGGAGGCTATAACTGGTTCTTGGGAATGGGCATAATTATTCACACCTGCAGTGAACATTTATCTTACACCTATTTTATGTCAAGCGCTTTATATTATTTATAAAAAAAGACACATGTCTCTTTGGACCAGATATATTGCAAATATGCCGTCACTACCAGTTTGGCATACTGAAGTTGCAAGTATTTAAACAACCCTGCCAAATCTCTAAAGAGATTTTTAGGCAGCTGAGAACCTAGAAAAATGAACAACAGTTACAGATCTAACAGGATTACAAATAACTGGATATCTAAATTGAGGAGGAATGAGAAATGGATAGGAACCAGCCAGGGATCTGAAGTCAGAAAACTGAAAGATCAAACCATTCTTATCTAAAAGGGAGGAGAGAAAAAGAAAAGTTGAAAGGTTAAATAAAAACAGAAAATCATTCTTTCCAAAGAAGGTTTTATATATATCTATAAAAATGATGAACAAAAGTAAGTATGCCCTAAATTATTTTCTCTGTTGCTGGTGAAGTATCTTAAGTGAATTTCTAACTGGTGTATCTTATATAAACAAACTTGTGAAAATAAATTCAAAACAGCTGATTGACTATACACATGCTAGTTCATGGATTCTCAATCTGGGAGGTTGTAGCAGGCCCACTCAAAGTGCTTTTTGAAGAACAAGTCCTGCCTCCATTGTCCCCTCTGGAGGAGGAAGTGATTTACGGAGGGGAAGGGGTTTTGTTTGGAAGCAACTCCAGTGATTTGCATTTGCTCCCTATTTAGATCCATGTGTTTAGCTGGTGATGTACTGAGCTTCTGAAGCAGTCAGATCATGTGTCTCAGAGGAAAACTCACTTCTGGAAGACTCTCCTGCTCCTGGACAGGGAGGCATCATCCTACTGCATGGGGGCCCTAGCCCCAGCTTAGTTATATGAGCTGCAGTCCGCCCAGGGAATCCTGGGAAGGAGTGAGAGTGCAAGAAGACGGTAAGAAGGGTAGGTCCCAGATGTTTGACATTTCTCCAGGTTGGGGTCCTGTATCACATGATCTCACTGTATCTTAGGAAGGATTTTCCTAATCTCTGTATAAATTTCTTTTTTTGTTGTTTTGTTTTGTTTTGGGGAAAGGACCTGGAATGATCAGATAAGGCTGATCATGAAAGCTCAGAAGGGGCTTGAGAGAAAGGAGCAGGAGGAAGAGGAAAGGCTGAGGGCTGCCTGCATTTCAGTGTCCAGGCCAGGGAGCCAGTGATTGCTGAGAAGGCCACAGTGGGCACCGCTTCCAGGTCCCACTGCCAAAGGCTGTCACAGCAGGAAATGGGGTCTGGGGGTCTGTGTAGGAGGGTAGATGGTGACTTCACCTCCAGATAATCAGTGTGTTTCAGACCTGGTGGGGAAGCCCAGAGACTGGAGGAAAAGCCAGAATAAGCCGGCCCCGCGACTCACTAGGCTAATCCTCCGCCTTCACCGGGTTCTAGTCCCGCCCTGGGCGCCGGATTCTGTCCCAGTTGCCCCTCTTCCAGGCCAGCTCTCTGCTGTGGCCAGGGAGTGCAGTGGAGGTGGCCCAAGTGCTTGGGCCCTGCACCCCATGGGAGACCAGGAAAAGCACCTGGCTCCTGCCATCGGATCAGCGCGGTGCGCCGGCCGCGGTGGCCATTGGAGGGTGAACCAACAGCAAAAGGAAGCCCTTTCTCTCTGTCTCTCTCTCACTGTCCACTCTGCCTGTCAAAAAAAAAAAAAAAAAAGCCAGAATGACCCAGTGTCCTAGGACTTTTAACTCCCCCCCCACCCTACCCCACCCCACTTTTTTTAAGATTTACTTTTTATTTGAAAAGCATAGTTACAGAGAGAGGAGGGGGAGGAGGTGGAGGGAGGGAGGGAGGAAAAGAGGGAGGGAGAGAACCTTCCATTTGCTAGTGCACTCCCCAAATGGCTGCAATGGCCAGGGCAAGGCGAGGTGAAAGCCAGGAGCCAGGAGCTCCATCCAGGTCTCCCACATGAGTGCAGGGGCCCAAGCACTTGGGCCATCTTCTGCTGCTTTCCCAGGTGCATTAGCAGGGAGCTGGATCAGAAGTGGAACATCCAGGTCTCCAACCTGTGCCCATATGGGATGCTGGCATCACAGGCAGAGACTTCACCTGCTATGCCACAACCCTGGCCCCTTTTCGAAATCAAAGTACAAAGGCGGGAAAGAGGAAAGCAAAGAAATCGCAGGTTACTGCACTGCAGGAGTCAAGAGGACTCTGTGGGCTCTCTGCTAGAGGGGAGGCTGGGCAGTTTGGAATCTCTGCATCCTTCCTGGCTGCTCAAGCCAAGGAGGGCCTGGATGCAAGCACCATTCAAACATTACCCCTCTCCCCTCAGCCACCACCACCACCACCAACCTCCAGGCATCACAGAAAAATCATGCAACTACTCTTAGGCCCCTGCCTTTACTGTGTGTAGGTGACCAAGTGCTCACAGGAACCCAGTGCTTACCCTTTGCTGTATGTTGAGCCAACTAGAGCCAGGCTCCTGTGCCCTGGAAGCCCCTTGAACTTCAGCTTGCCCCATCTCCGAGCAAGCGCGGAAGAGTGGAATATTCACCCCACAGTTTCTCCCAGAATCCCTGGACAGGAGCTGAACCTCACCCACTAGCCTTTCCCTCGCTGCTGCTCACGGTCCCCACCCTACTGAAGCAAACTACATCGCAGGCAATTGTCCGGTTTTGAGAGCCTTGCAGATTTCTGAGATCATCAGAGGGTTTTCCCTCTTATATTCTTCATATGTGATTAAAGTTTGTTCCTATCTTACCTAAGTACCAGCTGTTTTTATTTGACGTTAGTGGGAAGCTCAGAGTGATCTTAGGTGAGTCCGGGCCCCCATCGGTGGAGAATGAAGCTATGGGGCCCCATAGCATTTGTCATTCTCTTGGGAAAGTCCAAAGAAGCCTGAAATGCACAGCTCTCTCTTTCTCTTGAACTTCACCTTTCTAAATGGAACTGGGTTTCAAAATGAGCGGGCTCCAGGGATATCGGGCGCAAGGGAATTGCTGATTGAAAAACCCCACCGCGCTCAAGGCTGGGGGCCAAGGGTGTGCTTGGGAATGGTCTGGGGTAAGGAACTGAGGAGCGCGGGGCAGGCCGGGCTGGGCCGAAGGGGAAGGGGCACGAGGAGTTAAGGGAGCGCCGGCTTCAGCGGGCCAAGGAGGGTGCGGGTGCGCTGGGAGCGGCTGCGGCGGCGCGGGGCAGAGCTGCAACAGCGACAGCGAGCGGGACGGAGTTAGGACCGCTCGGAGCGCCCAGGTCTCGAGGTAGTAGAAGGTTTGCAGTCCTTCCACTTGCTGGCAGTTGCAGGAGATCCGCTTGTTAAGTGAAACGCTCCCGGCCGCCCGAGCGTGCGAGGGCTGCGGCTGCCCCGGCCCCGGCGCTCACTCTGGTTCCAGCGCGCCCCTAAGTTTGCGCAGAGCCGACCGCGAGCGGGGTCCGAGCCGCGCGCCGCGGGCGGGGCGCGCAGCCCCCGGCACCGCCAGCCGGAGGCGGCGCGGGCCATGTATATTTCATCAAACGGACTTGGGGCGCGCCGCGTCTCGCAGCCGTCAACGCGATGTGCGGCGGTGACATTTCTGACTTGAGTGGAGGAATGCGCGAGGGAAGCCCGGGCGAAACTGCTCCTGGAGGATCTTCTTGGCGCCAAGGCGAATTGCCCTGATTGATGCCCTTTCTGACCGAGCTCGCCGTCTCCATCTGAAAATTTAAAAATGAAAGCGGTGCCAAGCGGGATAGAACCGCCCGGCAGCTGGTTCTGAGCCACCGGGGGACCAGAAAATCGCCCTGCATCTTGGAAAAAAAAAAAAAAAGCCCAAACAAATAAGAAAAGAAAAGAAAGACACACACACAAAAAGAAGGAAAAAAAAATCCGTCCGTAAAAGTTTACGGCGAGAAGTGGCAGCGGCGGCGGCGGCGCCAGGAGGCGCGGGGCGAGCGGGCGGCGGCGGCGGGGCCGGCCGGGCCTCCGAAGGCTGCGATTCCATTATTAATATCGCCGGGTTTTGGAGGGAGAGAGGCACCTTTCTCATCCTCTCTTCCTCTCCGCCCGCCCCTGCTCCCTCCCCCTCATCTACCTGTCAAAGTCACTGATCTTTGGCATTTCCGAAGAGGACGTCAACGGGAAGGAATTCCCCCCTCTCGACGCGGGCTCCGAGAGGGAGCGAGCGCGCGGGAGGCTCCCCGGGCGCCGGGCGAAGGTAATTCAGCCGGCGGGGCGTGGCGTGCGGGCGCGGGGTCCGGGGCCGCAGGCTCCTCTCCCGCAGTCGCCGGGCGCTCTCGGGACCCGGGGCTGCGGCGGCGGCGGCGGCGGCTCGGGTCCACACCCCCTCCCCTCCCGCTCCGCCCGCGTCCGGGAGGAGGCTCTGAGGGAGCTGCCGCCGCCCGCCCGAGCGCCGCCCGCGGGCTCCGCTGCTGCGGCCGCCGCCCGAGGCGCACCAAGCTGGCCAGGGCCGCCGCCCCGCGCCGTCGGCTCGGCTCCCGCCCCGCGCCAGGGCGAACGGGCCCCCACGGTAAGTGCCACCGGCTGCCCTGTCCGCCGGCGACCCGCGCCTCAGGTCTGCGCCCCTCAGCCCCGGCTCCCTGCCCACCCAACCCGGTCCAGCCACAGGCGGGAGGGAAGGCTCCGGGTGGGCGAGGAACTTTGTGAAGCGCCTGGAGGAGGCAGCGCGCGGAGCTGCTGCGCGCACACACAGCCCGCACCCCCTCACACCCACACGCGAGTCTTCCTGGATGTGCGCCCGGCTGGCTGCGGGGTCCGGAGCCTGGGCGCTGCAGGCATGGGTCGGTGCCTCCACGCCCGGCTGCCAGGCACGCCGCGCTCTCGCTCTCACACACCTGACCCCTCAGCACGCTCGGGAGGGTTTGGGTTCCCTTTTTCTTTTGTCAGTTGTCTTTGCTTTGGGAGAAAGAGACAACTTGCCCTGTTGCCAGCCCCGAGGAGCCGGTGGCCGCACCGGGAGCCTTTGAAGTCGCCCTTTAAAAAAATCTCCTTTATTGGTGCGAGATTAAAGCATTACTATCCCATGTTGTGCAGCTGGGAAGCAAGGGAGATTGCAAGAGGGAGAGAGACTTGGTGCGGGAATGCCGGTTGGGATACGTTCTCCGATCCTTTACTGGCGTAACCTTCCTCAGTTGATGGATTCAGCTAGGGACATTGAATTGCTCTCCAGTGTGGATCCGTGGATATCTATATATAATACAAAGTAATACTGAATATTATTGGGCCCAAAATAACCAATTAAGTGATTCATGTGAGGGAAAACTTAGATAAAAAAAGAAAGTGCGCCCTCTGCTGTTTATTTCGGTAACCTCGCCCAGGGACCATCCTCTTCCGAAATCCACTCAAGAGTCGGTTGTCATTTTACAGGGCAGGGTGGGGAAGATTCCTCTCGGAGAGTTTAAAGCAGCCTCAGGTTGAGTTCCTGTCGTTCCATCAAGTGTAGATTTCCGAGAGTAGAGGGTTTTATTCCCACTCCCAGCCCCACCCCCAGCTCCTCCATTCTTCTCTTTACAGCCTATCAATCTTGAGGGAAAAATTCTGAGTAAGATTCAGAATTCTACTAAACATATGGCGAATCTGGCAGTAGATTTGCTCTAGAAATAAGGCCCTATTTTATGACCGAAAATACTAAAAGTTTTCTTATCTTACAGAGATTAAAAAAAAAAAACAGAGACTCTTCCATCCACATCATTTATTAAAATATGCTAAGTGGTTATGCTTATTAGAAAGTTTTCCAGAAATCCCGTTCTTGGGGGGTGTGGGGCAGGCCAGGCTTTCCTGGTTTCTGTGGTCCTTTAGGAGTGGCTGTCCGTGGGGCATCAGAGTCCCACATTCTGTTAAGTGTCTGGAACTGTGTCACTTTGAATGCCTTTCTTGTCTCCCTTTCTCTCTGGCAAAGGGAAAGGAGCTCAGTAACTGTCCAAGATTCTTTTGGAAGATAAGCAACTTTCAGTTTTTCGTGAAGATAAAATTTAGATTTTGCATGTGGATCAGCATGCAAGGAAAAAAAAATCATCAAAGTATTTCACATAGAATGTTGTTCCAGCCTACATGCACTTGGGATATCTTTTCTTTTCCCGATTCCATGCAAACCAACAGGAGGGCATTCCGAAGGCCACAGAGTTGGCTATTAATTTGGTGATATTTCCCACTGGGAAATTTCAGAGGGGTACTGTTAAAAATCTTGTGAGAAAACAGTTTATTTTATTTGGACATAAAGCCGTTTTCCTTTTAGGATTTTTGTTGTGTCAGCTTCCACTGGGCTTGTGTGTTGAAGTGGTTCAGTATGGCTTTTTAGTAGGAGGGTAATCTGCTTTGCAGTTTCCTTTTATATATTTGCAATTCGTATACATTCCTTTCTTTGCTTCCATTACTACTCTGAAAGACATCAGGAAGCAATTTTCAAAAAATCAAACAAGTATTCCATTATTTGTTGGTTATCTAAGTGTTATAAAATTTGGAGAGAGTTTGAGAGTTACAAAAGCACCAAGTTACTTGAAAAGAAATAAAATTTCATGCAACTTAGAAAACCAGTTCTTTGTTAATACCAAGAAGTGTGGGTGTATGAATTTTATTGAGTTAGAGGTCAGTAAGAGATTTAGCATACTTTTAAAACTCATTTTATTTTCAGAACCCAGAGTTCTGTTTTAAAACTTCAGGTGGGTGTAGATTTTCTCAGATGTGTAATTGAGGCCTTGCATCTCTGAACTTCCCTGCATAATAATGGAGTATTTGTTGTTCGTATGGTAATTAAACACCAGATTTCTCCCAGGCTTAACTGATCCTGAAATAATTTTATTACTGTCCTATCCCCAAATGTCCTGCCCCCCCCCCAAAAAAAAGTGCTATCGAGTTTCTCTAGTCAATATTTTCTTGGGGGACAATAGAGATCTTTCAAATACGAAGGTTTATTATTTGCTTTTATTAAGAGTCTCATGATGGGTAGTTGTCCATCATGCCCAATCAAGCATGAGTAAGACATGCCGGTGTTGTTGTAGAACATGTTAAATTGCTTGTATTTTGAGAGACAGTTAACAAAGGAATAGGAACACAGGTTTCCCATTAAGATGACTAGAAAATGCTTTCTTCACAACAAATAAATAAGGGCAAAGAGCATTCAGTATATGTTAAAATATCTCATGTAATCAATCTTAGGATAACTGTGTTGGAAGCTGCTAATTTTGAGAGGTTATGGAGTTTGGATATCTTTATCTCTTTACGTTTTCCACTCAATGGAATGTGATTCTAGTCAGCTTTTCTTTTGTTCTTTCTCATTCACAAGCATGCATATTTATAAAATTCTTAATGTCTATGAGGAATGAGTCAATAGCTGTCTATTTCAGGTGCCCCTGAACAGCTGAATATTTATGGAATAAATAGCCTGCTACCACCACCCCCACCTCCTAGTGAGGTTATGTAATAAAACAAATGCCAAAAGCCAGTTACAGTTGATAGATTTATTAGCAATATTTTCCTCTTAGCTGATGAAATTAGCAATTGCGTTTAGGATATAATTGTCTATAATTTTGATCATTATTTTGTTCATGCAATATTTTGTTTGTTTTTACTATGATGAGACAATGAGCCTGTGAAATACCTTCTGCAAAGTTAAGCCAAGGTGGAAGGGAACTAGGTACACAATCCTGGAAAATCTGTTCCATGGATGCAAAGCCATTTTTAGTTCATTTTTTCCTGATCACCAATATCCATCCACTTGAGAGCCATGACATAATTTTGTATTTTTTTTACTAGCCCCACAAATTTATGCAGCAGAGGTCTATGTACTACTCACAGGATATTATTGCATGTTTTTATCAAAGAGGACTTCTCAGTCCTTTCATTCACATGTAGAGAGGATTGCATTATTTGATTACAAGTGGGTTCCCAAGGGTTGCAGAGTGAAGTGTTAGAATTGGGGCTGCCCGGAGCTCCTCTGAAGCTGCTCTGCTGTAGGTGATCCAGACACCTGAGACAAATTCAGAGGCCGTTTTACCTGGCAATTAGTTCAATTATGGGCCGGAAGGGATGCGTTTTGTATATTAAATCCAAAAATATGTCATTGACTGTCCTTTTCATAATCGCTTTGCCTAGCTATTTGCTGAGATGTCCTAGCTTTGAAGAAGCAATTGATATTTTTAACCTGGTTGAAAGCACAGTCAGATGGCAACCAGTGCCATTAGGTAATGGAGGCCAGAGTGTAAATACCATTTTATTTTTACATCATTTTATTTTCTTTCAAATATACATAATTATACTTTAATAGCAAATTCCTGATTTTCTCAGAAGCTTCTTTCCCATTGTACGACGTGGACATTCGGAGATTTCATTTCTCATTAATTTGAAGTTAAAAGGATTTTCTCTGAAGTGCTGTGTGGCACTCCACTGTGGCACAGTGAAGAAGCCCCTGAGCTGAAGGATGCCTAGTAGGTGATGCGACAAACATAAAAATGAGGATGAAATCAAATAATTATGTTAAAGAACAGCTTAGTGACCCTCTGCTCCTGATCTGTAATATGCCATGGTCAATATCTCCTTCTGTGTCAATGGGAGCTCATTAAATGTGAATTCTGCAGACTAACTGAGCCATGCCATATTAGTGCTTGCCAAAGCTTGACATTTTTAATACATTAATAATATGTCTGTAATGTAATGGAAAACTATTAATCACAACTGGTTATGTGCCAGAAATTTAAGCTATAATTGGCTGCTTCTTGTCAAGAATGTCTGTCGCACAGTCCTGCAACTGCCTAATATTCAAATATCTTGCACTCCTCTGCAGTTTTCCTTGTCAGTTCTCTAAATTCGATCAATGGTGTAGTCCATAATTCCGTGTAATGACCATCATTATAACTCTGGTATACTTTAATGAGAATTCGTTATATTGGGATTGCTGTTGTGTCAGGAGATAGTAACAGGTTCACATACATTTTCTTAGTGTCCATTTTTTTCATGTGCAAATGTGTGGTCACCCTTTATTTCATGGTTGCAGTAAAGTAAAACGTGGCTTAGGGCAGAGTACCCAAGACTATATGGATTAGAGGAATAGCATTGGTAGGTTACCAGCAACAGGAAGCCTGATCTCAGGGAGCATTCGAATTTCAGTTTTAATGTTAAAAGTTGACACGTAATTTTCATTCAGTTTAAACTCAAAACAATCTGTTAATTCCAGGTGCTTGAGACTATGTTGTTCTTGATAAATAAACTGCTGTGTATCTGAGACTATGCAGTGAAGTTAATTTCTGACCTAGTGGATTTTACACTGATTCGCGTGTAATACCTGTGTCTTTGCCCATGAGTGTGTGTTTCCTCTTAAGGTCTGAAACAGTTGAAAAACGCAAGTAGAAAAGGTAGATTTGCATCGTTCTGACAACTTTTCAGATTATTAATTGTCAAATTGGTGGAAGTTTTTGAAAGTATTATCTGAATTACTAATGAATCTGAGAAAAAGCAGAAGACTATAGTAGCCACAACATATGCTTCCTCGTGATTTCTTTTCTTTTTAGCTTAAGATTTCAAAATGTGCGGAAGATAGTACAGTCTTTACATTACAAGGAAGAGGCAGATTCAAATCTGTAGTTTATACATGTTTAGACAAACTGCTAATTATTGCTTCATAGGAACTCAAATATTCAACACTTTGCCTAATAGAAAATATCACAAATTGCAGCTGTATGATAACATTTTATGAATTGAATATAATGAAAATTGCACTTGCATGCATAAAGCAATTATTATAAATTACTTTGCTATGGAAACACAATTCAACCATCTGTTGGCATTTCATAGTCTCTGTGGCTTAGTTCATTTTAAGATGGTATATTATTTAAATATAGTGAATTCCTTTTATAAGATTGTTTAAAGATAGTGAAATTCCATATTTAAACTGTTTTATGTGAACTGAAGGGTCTGTAATGGCATTTCCCAAATTTGCAGGCTTTTTTTCCTTTTTGAATTAAGAAGTAGCTCATTATTGGCCTGTGAATAGGAAATAAATGATTAAGCAGATGCACTTTTGGAAACACCTGGATTCCACATACTGGCATTTGTTTAGGTCTGGCTAGTGATCTGTAAATACAAAAGTTGCCAGTTCGACTTACCAGTGACTTGTACCCGTAGTTGTATAGGCTCCATTATCAGTTAACCAGAAGTACTTTTAAACAGTAATTTTTATTTCCTCTTAGAATTAGTGCCATATTATTCTGCTTCACGGCCTGTTAACTCACCCTCAGCTATTTTTATATGTGCATTTTAAATTGTGCGTTTTACTATGGAGCTTTTAGTTTTAAAGCAGTGTATAATATTCGCCTTTGGGACAAATTCTCTTCTGTTACAGAAAGTAACTGCAAATGCAGATGTAATGGCTATAAAAAGATGTAAGAAAATAGAAAATTCTTATGGAATGAAAATTTACTCCTTTGGTTGTAATTTTGAATATTTTCCCAGAGAGCCAAGTTATCATTATCACTTAATGCAACTAAACAAAAGATGCTAAATTCTTCTAATATAATGAGCAAATTGAGAAGCACGGGCCCTTGCCAATAATGCTGGGTTTCCCTCCAGCTAGCGAAAGCTAAGACATGTAGAAGGAATTTGGAGACTTTTAGGGTCTCTTTGCCAAGAGACAAAAGGCATATGGGAAAAAAAAAAAAGGCATATGGATAATTGTCATTTCCTTGTCATTGTTATAAAAGTACTCATTTTCCCCATTGTTCTCCTTGAGATTTTTCTAGCACTGCAGTATATGAGAAATGTTTAGATCTAGCTGCTTGCTCTCAGTTTTGTCAAGATGGAAATGTATGTTTTGAAGTGAAAACCTGTAACTCACCTGCAATACACACACATCTGCCTTTTTACGGAAGAGTTAAATCCTTCATACCGAAATCCCCCCCAACATGAGTGATTTTCCTGGTTTGCTGATTGCAGCAACACAGCTGAGTACAGTTATCCATATTATACCAATTTACTGTATATTGTATCACACCCCAAAATATCAACATATCATATATTTCATAGTGCATTGATTCTGGGACAATAACTCTTACTCTTATTGTTTCCAAAAGGGTGTTGGTGCCAGAAGAGAAGAATGATTGATGGGAAACAGACACCAGACTAGTGACACTCATCCTTTTGCTTCAGATACTGATATCTCAACACGTCTGAGCATCCCTTGTGAGCCGTGAACACTGAGGATCATTCAGGGTTATTGGATGTACAATGGGAGAGCCATCACTTTGCTAAATTATTATCTGCTACTGGACATATTTTACAAAAACCAAACCAGACCGGAGTCTAACAGATGTGTTCTAGGACAAAATAAAAAAAAAAAAAAAGGAAGCTGTGAGTTGTTGCTAACGCTTAATCCACAAGTATGTTAGGCCTCTACCAGTGTCCTCAATAAACCTGAACATGCACAGTGTTTAACCCAGCGCATTTGGTTTTGGAATCTGCTTTGAGATCTCTTCCTCATCTATTTTTTTTAAATATATGGACCTACCTATATAGAGGCTTATATATTTATGTAAGATAGAGACAGGTCAAAAATAAACCACGGAGACTGCAAAGAGTTTAGAGATGTATTTGTCAAGATTCCTGTCGATCCATGCCCTTTGGGTCACCGTGTCCTCAGTGATGCAGCCCTACCCTTTGGTGTGGGGGCATTACGACGTGTGTAAGACGCAGATTTACACAGAAGAAGGAAAAGTTTGGGATTACATGGCCTGTCAGCCTGAATCCACGGACATGACAAAATACCTGAAAGTGAAGCTGGACCCTCCGGATATTACCTGTGGAGATCCTCCTGAGACCTTCTGTGCAATGGTGAGAAAACCCTTTTGTTTAGACTATTTCAGAGAATGGGGTCACATACTGTATGCATACAGATGTGGTCAATGTGAAGATTCAGCTCAAGCCATGTGCTGAATCCACAGGTGGTAGATTTGGGCTAAGAGGCCAGCATCATTCTCGATGGAGGTTTGCACCTTCTGGAGTTATTGTTTGCACAGGGTGACTGATGCACTGCTTCCCTGAAAACCAAAAGTTTCACTGAGGCAAGTGAAGTACATGTATATTAGAAAAAGTCCAATTAAAGGTTACATTTTGGATAAGTATGATTAGACCCTGTGTGTTTTGCTGAGGATAAAGTCCATCGGCAAAACCAGTTTTAAAAACATAAGAGTTTCTTAACACACCTGTGTAAGGTCTTTCCCAAAATCCATCGTTCAGGGTTAGATTAGAATTCATGGTTTTCTTCATCTGGAGCTATGGTGATTTGGAATTCCTTGATTAGACGACTAGTGAGCAGAAGAGAGAACAACTTAAGTCTTCCAGAAAAGTCTTTTGCCAACTCACATGGCCCCTGATTTTCAAGAATCACTGTTTTCTATGGGTACTTTACTGATGAATGTTGGACTGTTGAAAACATATTTGCTGAAAAGCAGTGGCCTGGGGCATACCCATTCAGGTAGGATGCTTCTGTAAGCATAGTTACACAATTCATTGTTCTCATGCTCCATCAAAATCTTCTGGATGCAAAGTTAAATATATAGAAAGATAATAGTGGAGAAACATTGAATTTCCATTATGGCCATAGCTATAACCTATAAGGTATTGGTGAAGAGATTGGTGATTAAAATGCTTCAGATTCGTGTGCTAAAGAATTTAGGTAGTGTGTTCATTTGGTATATGTGGTGCTTTTTATTATAGGTGGTCTATAATTGATTCAGGAACTGAGATCCCATTTTTCTTCACATAACAGATATCATCGCATGGCAGATTTTAATAGTATTCTTACCTGATTTTATTATCTTGAACCTGGCCTGGCATTTCCAGGATAGTGAAACTATTAATCAAGGTAGCATCTGTTCCCAGTCCCCAGTGAGTTAAATTAGCATAAGATCATCTTAGCCCTAGCACTAGAGAAAAGGTTTTGTAACAGGAAACAATTTTGAGCAATAAAGAGTGTTTTCACCTAAAAGCTAAGGGCCTGCCATTTTTCAGAAGTGCCTTTGGGGACTGGTTTGAATTATCGTCTAAACCTGATTTTGTGGAGAGTGAGAAAAAGAGCTTGGCTATTAGGTGTCACTATGACTAAAGTGCCAGAAAGACTGAATATTTCAAAGGGAGGCCGGTCTCTCTGGGAAACTGGTATGTGCTTTGCAAAGAAGTTGCATTTTAGGAACCAGAGACTTTCAGAGAAGTTTATTGAAACACATTAGCAAAACTCTAATAAATCTGTAAAAGAGCCAGGACATTTGTTGGATTATATAAAATCTTAAATAATTTCTCATAAAAAGTCAAATTTAAGCTCTCATTGCAAATCTGGGGTGAAACTGCTGTCCAGGTGATAGGTTCTTCTACTCCTTACAGCAGAGGACAAGCTCTGGGCCAATTCTTCCTATTGTTAGCAACACTCTAGCTCTATATATTGGTTTACATGACACTTGTAACAGTATGCTTCCCTAGGAATTGCTTAATAATTTACAGGTCTAAATAAAATTGCAAGTGTCCTTTTCCAGGATACTGTTTCCACTTGCGTAAGCTCTGGACAGTGTGTTCAAGGTGTGATTTGTACAGGCAGCTCCCCTGATCTCATCCTCTGGCCAGAGAATACTTGCTTGGCACTGCTCCTCTCTGTTGTGTGGAGGAGTTGACTTGGTGTTTGCAGCATGCCTCTTACACCCATCCCAAGTGGGAAAGGGCACACTACAGAACTTCCTAGCTTGCCTTTCACTGGGACATGGTCTGTCTTACACAAGCCAGTTCCCACCTATCCACTGACAAAGTGGTGTCAGGGACCAAATGAGAAACAAAAGCTACCACGATATCCCTTGGCTTTCTCAAGTGCAGCAACGTGTGTGCTTTATGTATTCGCCTGAAATGCCACAGGTCAGTCTCAAAAAGCTAAGTCTTGGCATGGTGCAGATATTCAGAAACCATGGTGGATTTAAACTTGCAATGAGCAGAATGGTTTTCTAAGGGAGAGTGTGAGGTTTGTGGGATGTTATCTATGCATCCTTAATTTGTATTCCTTAATATCCATATGATTGGCATAGAAAACTTAATAATCTACCTTTATGTGTACACTTCGGGATTGTTTTTGTGCCTATTCTAGGCAAAGTCAATAACAATGGACTAATATAGCAGCATTTCCTTTCTGCAGTTTTGGATTTTCCATAAAACTTGGTGGTGTAAGGGTTCCTGACACAAGACTGTAAAAGCGTCTCAGGATGCTGTCAGAGCAGAGCCGGTTAGGTGCTCCTTAGTGCAAGGTCTAATGGGGATCCATAAATTCATTTGTGTTATGACTTTGGCGTTCTTGCTGCCTTGACACTTGTATCCATACCTGCTCCCTTAGAGTCGTTATGGCCTATTACATCAGGGTAGCTGCCAGATGAGCACGCTCACTACTTAGCCACAATATGTAAATGTTTGCTGCAAAGTGGTTTCACTTGCTCAGCTAGTGACACCCTTATTAGCTGTGCCTATAGCTATTCTGAGCACTGACAGGACATTTGGTCAGAGAAATATCCTATAATTCCCATAGCCGATTAATTTAATGTAGCGATGAAGTTCATTGGCATTGCGTTAAGAGGCTGTGTTGCCACTTTTTGACTTTGCTCATTTTTGCATGCCAGTGACTGTCCATGAGTGTTGCATTTATTTTAATATACAGTGAAATTTTAAGGGGAAAATGTGCTTATGATTACCTTCAACTATAGAGCTCTGCCTGCTAACCTGGATGACACACTTAATAAATCTTCAATATCAAGCAATTTTAAGTTGTATATTAATTGTATTGGCATATATAAACATTAGTTTTCTGGGAGAATTATACCATTTCTATTTATCATCATTTTAGAGCTAAGAATATGAGGGTACAGGAAGGTTAATTTTTTTCCAGACTGGGATAATGTACTTGTAAAAGACATATTAAAAGCTTCAGGTAGCATAACTTAGCCAGAAAACACAGATTATCTAGTGATGACAGTTTGTTTCAACATGCTTAAGAGCAGATAGGATGTTCAGAACCTGGATGTAAAGTTGAAGTGACAACACAAAGCTATGGTTTGTTCTTTCTGTTTAGACAAACTTAGCTGTCACCTCTTCATGCAACACCCCAGTGGCTTAAAAATGGCAAAATTATCTCCAGCCTGAAGCTTATTTTCTAGATAAGTTAAACAGAAGCTTTGAAAAGAAGCCTACAGATGAAAGAAGTCATGTGCGTTTGTACGATTTATGGTGCAGAAGTGCTGATGGCTGTGGAAATGTGAACCCTTGAGTGCTGCCATAGATTTCAAAGCCAATCAAAACTAAATTAGGAAAAAAAGATTATTAAAAAGGCTTCTGTGCATGTAATTTTGGCATAATATTATGAGGTGGACATTAAATGTTTTCCTTGGAGACTTTCAGCATCATTAATGCAGCATGCCTTTAATTACAAGTAGACTCATATTACTAAAAAAAAGGAGAAAATAAAGTACTCTAAGGTGTAGTTAGCAATACCCTCATTATGTTTACTGGAATAATTAAAAGAAAGGGTATAATTTTTCTAAATAAAATGTCAGAATTGGAAATGAAAATTGATTTTCTGTAGGAAATTTACTAATATGTGCCTGTACTCTTGATAGACATTTATTCATGTAGCTTAACAGGTCTATTAATGATCGTTCCATATTGTGCTATTTCTAGATATACTTCTATTAAAAAACTTTAATTATTATAAGCTTTGTGGATAGAGCATATTTCATTATGTTCAAATGAAATTTACAAAAATAGTGGAAAGCCTTTGTGTATTATGATTCCAGGGAAACCTGTGAGATGAGGGAATGGTAATGTATGGTCCCAAGACTATCCATAGCTTAAGTTTCTGATTTGACATCAGCTCAGATTGCCATCTGGTGGCTATCAGGTGGCCTTTGAGGAATTAATTTGATAAACTTGGTTAGGTTTTTAATGACAAGGAATTAATATCAATTTTCCAAAAACTGGAAATGGCACTGACTTACATAATAGTCAAATGATCTTATATTCACATGAAACATAACTCAGTAAATGAATGAAGTTTTAATAACAGTGACATCTTTCATTTGAACTGATTTATTCTTTAATTATGCTAGAATGGAATTTTTAAAAGCCTTCAGTTCTTTCATCATTAACGCTTCATCATTACTAGTTCATTATTTAGACTTATTTCTTAGAAAAGTTTAATTCATGTTTGTAATAAATTAAGTTCCATGGAGATCAGTCTTTCTAATGTATCACTAAATCAGGTATTTCCTTGTTGAGGAGCCTGCAATAGTTCCTTATTATCTACTGCATCAAATCTAAGGAAGTCTATTTTTTTTTTTAAAAACCTGGCTGCATATAGCCTGATTTCCCACTACTTCCCATTTTGATCCTATGGCATCTCCAGAAAATATAAAGCTACAATAATTGGAGAGAAATTACTGGATTTATGTTAAAACTGTACAGGCACTGTAGCAATCATGGTTTATGGGAGAGGCCTTGAGAGGGAGCTGACAAAGATTATAGCAGGGCTAATAAAACCTAAAACCACCTCATGTCATTCATTATTCCTAGATAGTGTTCTCTATGTGTACAAATGTTCTGATATCTGTTGTGATAAAGTTTCACAGCATGACCCAGAGTACTGTGCCAGAGTGAAGTGAACATTGTTGCTGCTCTCAAAGGAAGTAAAGGTGGTGTATACCCAAGAGGAGGGAGAATGGAGAAGTAAGACCAGCACTCCAAATTTAAGGCGAAATATGATTTTGCAGCATGTTCAAGGGCTACTTGGGAAATATCATCTAATAGTCAAG